GGACTAGACTAGACTAGACTATAGACTGGACTATACTAGGGACTTGTCCATAGCGTAAAGAATGGTATGTAAGAAAGGTTTTTATATAGATCAGCAAGTAAAGTACCTTTGAAACTTCCGTTTTCCCCTACCCAATAAAATACATATATCTTTTAGAAGTTTGCACAAGTACTACGTATGAATATAAAAATCCAAAAACAACAAACATTTGTGTTGAGTTGAAAAATTGTCAATCGTTTGCAGTTTGTCTTCATGACAAAATGATTAATGACATCAAATGAAAATTGTGTTGTACGACGGACAATGTTCATGGAATCAAAAAGGATCGATAGTCAGTTAGAAAAAAAAAAAATATATATATATATAACATGCTATATTTGTCGGTATGAACGATAGATAGAATTTTAAATTATGCGAACAAAAATAAAACAAACACCAACAAAAAAATCTGTGAACATAGTGCGAGTGAGTGCAAATATTTTTCTCCACCATTTGACAGTATTGCCATAACAATTTTTCCTCATGCCTGTTATTGATAGGCTTAACAACATTTAAGTGTCAATGGTTTGACAGCTACAAAAACAAATCGAAAACAAAAACAAGTAAGAAATTATAGTCGGGCGAGGCCGACCATATAATACCCTACACCTTTGACAAAAATATAATGTGATTTAGTTGCCATAATAAAGCATTTAAGTTGAATTGTACCTTGCCTTAGATATATGTACGTACTTAAGCCGTTTATTGTTGAATAAAATTGTGGACATTTAAGTGAAATTTTGATGGGGGCTTTTCATAGGGGCTAGGGTCATATGAGAACCTATTATTATGGAATTCGTGGGGGTCATCAAGTCTTGTATACAACTTGGTTATTGCAGCTTTTTGTCGAGATATGAGTATATTAAACATAATTATGAACTTAAAAGCCCTATTCGGCGGGTTCAGTTGTATGGGGGCTAGGTGAAATAATGGACCGATGTAAACCATTTTCAACAGGCTTCATCTAAAAGATCATGTGCCAAATTTCATTGAATTATCTCCAAAATTGCGACCTGTAGTTTGATTAAAAGTTTTAAAAGTCCTATTCGGGGTTTCAGTTGTATGGGGACTAGGTGAAGTAATGGACCGATGGTAACCATTTTCAATAGGCTTCGTCCCTGGGACAATAGAAGATCATGTACCAAATTTCATTGAATTATCTTCAAAATTGCGACCTTGAATTATCTTCAAAATTGATTACAAGGATTATAAGCCCTATTGGGGGGTTCAGTTGTATGGGGGCTAGGTGAAATAATGGACCGATCTTAACCATTTTCAATAGGCTTCGTCCCTGGGACAATAGAAGATCATGTACCAAATTTCATTGAATTATCTTTAAAATTGCGACCTGTAGTTTGATTACAAGGTTTACATGGACGGACGGACGGACGGACAGACGGACGGACAGACAGACGGACGGACAGACGGACGGACATAGCTAAATCGACTCAGAAAATGATTCTGAGCCGATTGGTATACTTTAAGGTGGGTATAGGACCAATATTATTGTGCGTTACAAACATCAGCACAAACCCAATATACCCTCCCCACTAAAGTGGTGTAGGGTATAACAAAACATGGAATACAAGGACCAACAAAAAATAGAAATAATGGAAAATAAACTCTAATGCAACCGAACTCAGTCATACTATTCGCACACGCACAATCCTACACAGAGTGGTGTTACTCTGACTTCAGTCAGACACATTTGGTTTTTCACAGGGCATTAAGAATAATGTTGGTTGAAGAGATTCTCGGTATGTTTGCAATTGCTGTCATTTTGTACTTATTGTGTTGTAGTTGAGTGAAATCTGTGTTGTATTTATTCAACCATAAATTGATGGGCTTCCTCTTGCACTCTCTTCACTCGTTCGTTAAGTTTGTGACACACATACGCATCGCATACAATTAGACCGTTGAAATGTTATTCCTTTTTTTACCGTTACATTTTACCTTTTCTGAAATAGTTTTTCAGATTTTGTTTTTCTTTCTTTGCATTTGTAGGTTTAAACTTTAAAGCAAACATCACATACATATCATCTATCTATTTTCATCTTTATTCTCTTTTCATTGCGTTTTACGAATTTGAAGTTTGAAGTGTAATGGTATTTGCAATTTAGCTCAGTTAGTTAAGTCACTAAGCTTGTCATTTATTGCGGATGTGGATGGACAAATACATATGGATGAATGAATGGTTGGATAGTTGGTTAAATGTTTGTTTAAAAGTAAAATATTATTTCTCTTGCCATCTGCTTGCGTATGTGAGAGTTTTTGTTTTTTTTTTTGTTGTGCTAATGCCAATTTGTTGGTTGCTAACTGTCAACTGCTTTTGACACGATTTTGAATTTTTAAGTGCAATGCTTTTGGGTTGAGTTGTTGCTGCGGCTATTCTGTAAACAACAAGTTTTATCTTGTGTGTGTGTGTTGTTTTGTGATTGTCGTACTTTTTCGGAATGCTTCTTTGGAATGTATTATGTTGTTCATTTGAAGAAAAAAAGAAGCGCAAAATATTGATATTTATCATTTTGTTTTGAAGTTGTAGTGTTTTATAAATATTTGATCGGAAAGTCTTTAACTCATAACAACAAACTGAAGTCGTAGACTTTGGAAAAAGTATTTCTGTTTAAATTTGTTTGGATTAATCTTCATATAGATCAAAGACATAGATCTAGAGTAACAAAAGTACATAGGTTGCTGCAGCTTGACCATTCGTTGCATCAACTAATTCGGTTACAAGAAACTGATACTGTATTCTCTATTTATGATTTTACTGACGATTCGGTCAATGTTTTTGAAATATGAAATATGTGGATAAATTTTTGCTAAAATCCGACATTAGGAAAATTTACTCGGTCAGTAGTTATGATAATAATCTTCTTCCTGTAAAGTCCTTATAAAAGCAGGAATTTCTCTTCGTACTCTTTGATATAACACATCAGCCAGTTATAGACCTTTATTGCGAAGAACAAAATCTTTTACAATATCCGCTCATCCCAAAATAAGAGGATCAAATAGTTGTACATCCTAAGCATTAATGGATAATAAGTATATATTACAATCGACCTATTGTTTAACTCTCTATAGATGGTAGATTATCAATAAGTCTTAAAGCTGTAATACACGGTTGTCAGATCTTACAAGGTTGGCAGAAAAATATTCAGAAACTGTCTAACAATAGTGAGAACTTTGTTTTGAAACGTTATCAGAAAAAACATTTCTGACAATGTTACAAGACAAAAATTGTAGGTAGACATGGTTGTTAGAAATTTTCTGAACATTTTTCTGACAACAATGTAAGATATACATAGCTTTAGTTAATAATAAAACAAATATTTGATATATTTTTGAAGAAAGATCTCTTAGTATGTGATCATCACTTAAGAATCAATCAATCATCTACTGCCTTACAACGCTTACTGAATTTCCCCTTACAATTGAAATATTAAAACAACATAATGATGATATCTCATTATATAGTCAAGTAGTTTGTGGTACGAAAAGTAAAATGTGATATGACATACATATTAGAGAACCCTTCTCAAGATTCGGGAGTAATTTGAAAACTTTATAGTACTTGCAGTGTTTTAAATATCGATCACATCTTTCTTTTGATCTACATACATATTGCCTATATGTACCTATCATCAAAATATTGATTTCAACATACAGATGGAGACACATTGAGAAATTGACTCGGATGATCCAGAATAGAGATATAATTATAATATATAATAGTTTACAAACGGAATAAAAAACAAGTAAGAAAGTATAGTCGGGCGTGACCGACCATATGATAACCTACACCAGTTATGAATATTAAATGTGATTTATTTTTCATAATAATTCATTGTTCCGACACATTTAAGCAATTTATGGATGAAAAACTAATTTTCTGAAAGAGGGGGCTAGGGGCAAATATGAACCAAGCCCGAGCTGGGGTCAAATGAGGCCCGATCTTTATGAAATTTGGCAAGGTCATCAAGACTTATAAGACTTAGTTGTGCCGCTTTTTATCGATATACAGGTATATTTAACATAATTATGAGTTCAGAAGCCCTTTTCGTGGGGTTCTGTTGCATGGGGGCTAGGTGAAATAATGGACCGATTTTAACCATTTTCAATAGGCTTCGTCCTTGGGTCAAAAAGCGTGTGTGCCAAATTTCATCCAATTATTTTGAAAATTGCGACCTGTACCTTGCGCACAAGGTTTACATGGACAGCCAGACGGACGGACGGACATAGCTAAATCGACTCAGAAAACGATTCTAAGCCGATTGGTATAGGACGAATATTTTTGTATGTTACAAACATCAGCAAACCCAATATACCCTCCCCACTAAAGATCTGTCATACATACTGACTAGAATATGTAACAGGTCTTCTCACGAAGGATTGGGGTAAAAAAGGGGTCTGATGTAAGAACTATGATTAAAGTTATTGTGGAAAGCCAGTTTAGGGAATAGGTTGGGTAGGATTTATGAAACAATCGGTTTGTTATAGATTCAATACTAAGAATATTTCGCAATTGAGGGACTATGGGTTGTCTCAAGCGAAAAGCTATACTTTTTGTAATAGACCAAACAATATTTGACAGACTATAGACATTTCGATATATGAAAAACTTTACTTAAATAATTTAATTACTATATTTATCAAGAAATCTTAAAAAAATCTATATAAAATTAAAATATTTTTTTAAAAACTCACTTGTTTTATTAAAAGTTTTTAAACAATTAAGGCAATTATTAGAACACATACCTGCAAATAGAAGATAGAAGTAGAAAATGTTATAAAATTGTTTATAAAAACATTCAAAACAATTAAAATGTTTAATTAATCAAGGTTTTTAATTATCAAGGTTTTCAAAAAATTCCTAAACGTCTTCAAATATTTCCCCAAAATCCCAAGGTAATAATTTATTGCAACAAATATATGTATTTCAAATATTAAACCCATTTTACCTCGACCTAATAAATGTGCGGCATATAAAATATCCCGAAAATGATGAGCCTGCTGATGTAACAATGAAAAGGATTCGGCTAAATTAGCAGCCATTGCTGCGGCGCCTAGACCACCAACCAGAGGAGGTAATGTTGTAGCGGCAGGAGGTGGTGGTAGCGGTGCCACTGGTTGTAGTGGCGCCGGATGTGATTGTGGTGTTTGTTGTTGTGTTGTTAATCCGTTTGTACTAGCTGTTGCTGACGATAGAGCTGATGATGGTGGTGGTGGTGCTAGTGACAGTGGTAGCGGATGTTGTAGTGGTAATGGTGCTGCAACAGTGGGGGGCAATCCAATAACAGTTTGTGTTTTCTCTGTTGGTAGACGTGTATTAAACTCAGTGCCTTGTGTTGGATTGTTGCTGTTGTTGTTGTTGGCCGACAATGTGGCAACATTTGAGGGTGGTGGTGGTGGTGTTGGCAAAAAAGTTTTACTTTTATTACCAGACGAAAACAATGCAATATGTTGATGATTGCCAATGTTGTTATTGTTGCTAGCATTGTGGTGTTGATGTAAATGATGCTGCTGGCTGTTGGAGGAAGGTGGTGTTGGTGGCACCGGCACTGTTACTGATGGCTTTGTTATTATGAGTGTTGAAGCTGTTGGTGACAATGTTGAACCTGTATGTGATGATAGTGTATCACCAACACCACTACCACCGCCGCTAACACATATGCTACCAACACTTGAACAACGTTGCACATGTCGCTGTTGTTGTAATTGATGTTGACACAATTGATTTGTTGCTGCCATTGTAGTTGTTGCTATTGTTGGTCTGATTGTTAGTTTCGTTGTTGTTGTTGGTGTTGTTGCCATTGTTTTTGTCGAACAATGTATTGATTTAACCAGATCTGTGTTATTTATATTTGTTGCTGTATTTGTTGTTATTCTCATTTTCAAAGGTGTTGCTGTTGTTGTTAATAATTTATTAGTATTATTAATGTTGCTGTTGTTGTTGTTACTATAGTTGTTATTTATAATATTTTGACAATGTTCACAGTTTTTCATGTTGGCATATTTATTTTTTTAATAATTTTTGCTCTTTTAATATTTGTTTGTTATTTCATTTATATTTATTAGTTATTTATGTATAATAAAATATATGTTGTTTTGTTTTTGTTTTTATAACAAGGAAGTATTGTTTTAAGGCATCTTAGTTTATAGAGTTTTTTTTCTTAAATATTTGATTTTTTTTTTTTTTGATTTTTTTAATATTTATATTTTGGCCACTTTAATTTTGATTAATTATTGTTATTTATGTTTTTTGTTTTAATATCAGGTTTTTAAAAAACAAATTGTAGGTTTTTTTATTTTTATTAGAATTTGAGCTAAAAATAGAATTCATTCATTGATGAGCTTTTTTGTTTTTCTAATATTTAGTTTTAAGGTAGTTTGAAATTTGAATGTTTTTTTGAGAAAAAAAAAATCATAATTGTGTTTTAAAAGCACCAAAATGGCAACACTTTTTTAAAATATTGTTCAATAAAAATGGAGATTTTGTTGCCATTGCACTTTTATATCTTTATACTAAGTCATATTCGACTGTTATATCTTTCTGGCTTTATTTATAACAGTTTTGTGATGAAAATAATTTTGTATAACAGTTTTTTTCTATAGAACATTTTCAGTATAACACTTTTTAATATTGAAATTTTTCCGTATTTCACTATTTTCTATGGTTTATGCTTGTATAATAATTTTTTATCGAAAAAAGTCTATAGAACAGTTTTTTCTAAAGGAAACTTGCAGTATAACAGTATATTTCTATAAAAAATATTTTGCAGAAATATTTTTATATAAAAATTTCTCGTATAAAAGATTTTTCTATAGAAAATTTCAAATTTTTTTTGTATAACAGTTTTTTTTCTATAGAACATTTTCTGTATAACACTTTTTACTATTGAATTTTTTCTGTAATTCACTATTTTCTATGGTTTATGCTCGCATAATACTATTTTATATAGAAAATATTTTGTATAACAGTTTTTTCCTAAAGAAAACATGCGGCATAACTGTCTCTTTCTATAGAAAATTGTCTGTATAACAGTTTTTTATATTAATTTCTTTAGAAACTTTTCTTTATTTTTCTATAGAAAATTTTCTATTTAATTGATTTTTTCTATAGAAAATATCCTGTATAACAGTTGTTTTTACTAAAATTTTGGTATAACAGTTTTTCCTAAAGAAATTTTTCTTTAAACTCTTTGTTTTTAATAAACTGTATAACAGTTAATATTCCTAAAATTTCTTATATATAACAGATTTCTTTTCTATAGAAAAATAACGAGTTTTCCATAGTAAAATTTGTGTATAACAGTTATTTATAATACAAATTTTTTTTTTAGAAATTCTTCTGTATAAAAATTTTTCTATAGAAAATTTTCCTTTTAATTATTTTTAATTTTTTTTATAGAAAATATCATAAATAACAGTTTTTTTTAAATATTTGGTATAACAGTTAATTTTCCTTAAAACTTGTATGTATAACAGTTTTTTGTATAGAAAAATTTCTGTATAAAGAGTTTTCCACAGTACAATTTTTGTATAACAGTTCTTTTATACAAAATTTCTTAAGAAATTCTTCTGTATAACAATTTTACTATGGAAAATTTTCTGTTTAAATGATTTTTTTATAGAAAATATCCTGTATAACAGTTTAAAAAAAATTTTTGGTATAACAGTTTTGTTTTCTAAAGAAAATTTTTCGTAAATCTATATTTCTATAAAATATTCTGTATAACAGTTAATTTTCCTTAAAACTTGTATTTATAACAGTTTTTTCTATAGAAAAATGTCTGTATAACGAGTTTTTTATAACAGTTCTTTACAGTATAAAAGTTTTTTATATGATATTATAGTATTTTTCTTATAGAAATAATCTGTATAACAGTTTTTTCATGGAATTCGTTTTTGTAACAGTTTCTGTATAAAGAATTTTCCATAGAAAACTATTTGTATAACAGTTTTTTCTATACAAATTTTTTAGTACAACAGTTTTCGATATAGAAAATCTTGGTGTGTAGCAGTTTTCTATTCAAAATTTTGTGTATAAGAGTTTTGTCTATAGAAATTTTTTTGTATAACTGTTAATTCCAAAAAAATTCTCTGAAAAACAATGTTTCGTAAAAACTTGTTTGTATGAACTTTTTATAAAGAAAATTTGTGTTTTTCTATACAAAAGTTTTTGTATAACAGTTTTTTTTCAAACTACTTTAAAACTAAATATTGATCACTAATTAATCATAATTTTAAAAATAAACTTAATCATTCATTAAAAAATAAAGTTTGCTCATGAAATTGTTTATTATTTTACTTTTGAAAACTAATTAATAGCTTAATATTTCTATAATTTCCGTTAAAATGTAAAGACATCAAAATACGTTTTTGTTTTTAATTAATATTTGTTAATAATTAAAAAAAATTAAACATAAAAAATATTAAAAACTCAAACTGTTTTATGAGCCATTAAAACATTTTGTTTTAATATTAAACAACCAAAAAAAAAAAGAACTTTATATTTATATTTAGTGGTTTCATTTTATTGCTAATAATATAAAAAATATTCCCTCTATATAATTTTTTTATTAAACAAAACGTTTTTAGCAAAAGAAAAAAAGATCAAAAGTTTAACATTAACAACAAAAAAAAAAGAACACAATTTTGTTGTTAAATAATATAAACTCTTGTTTTATGTTCACATTTTGTATTTATGTGTTTATGCCTCATACACATGTAGAAAAATCTAAACTTTTTTTCAGTCATTCATTCCTTCATTTATTCATTCATTCTATACATTTATTTAGTCAGTCTTCAAAAACACATTCATTATTTTGTATTTTATTTTTCATTTAACGTAACAATCATTATTTGAAAAATTTATCTTTTTTTTTTTCTGCCGCCACATGTGGTGAAATGTATAAGTAAATAAATATTATTTAAATGTATGAGTGCTTGTTTTTAGTTTTTGTTTATAAACTTTTGTTTTGTTTGCAATATATTACGTATTTATGTTTTTTTTAAAAAGGGGTGTTTTGGTGGGGATGTAAAAAAAAATAAAAATTGAAAAACTAAACAATTTTATTGTCAACTTAGTGAATGTGTTAACAACAATAGTTTATAACTATTTACTTTAAATGAAAACCTTGTTTTTTATCTTTATTTTTATAAATGTAACAAGGATTTTTATGCCTTTTTTAAGGACTAACACTAGTTAACACTTTAAATTCAATTATGTGACACTTTTTTGTAGTACAAATTTGATCAGACTATAGTCTTGACTATATACAAATCAGTCTATAGTCTTGACCATAGCTCAGTCTATAGTCTTGACTATAGATCAGTCTATAATCTAGACTATAGATCCGTCTACAGTCTTGACTACATATCAGTCTATAGTCTTGTCTATAGATCAGTTTATAGTGTTGACTATAGATCAGTCCATAGTCTTGGCCATAGCTCAGTCTGTCTATAGATCAGTCTATAATCTAGACTATAGATCCGTCTACAGTCTTGACTACAGATCAGTCAATAGTCTTGTCTATAGATCAGTTTATAGTATTGATTATAGATCAGTCTATAGTCTTGATTATAGATCAGTCTATAGTCTTGACTGTAGATCAGTCTGTAGTCTTGACTATAGATCAGTCTATAGTCTTGACTGTAGATCAGTCTATAGCCTTGACTATAGATCAGTCTATAGTCTTGGCTATAGATCAGTCTATAGTCTTGACTATAGATCAGTCAATAGTCTTGACTATAGATCTGTTTATAGTCTTGACTATAGTCTTGAATATAGATCAGTCTATAGTCTTGACTATAGATCAGTCTATAGTCTTGCCTATAGATCAGTCTATAGTCTTGACTATAGATCAGTCTATAGTCTTGACTATAGATCAGTCTATAGCCTTGACTATAGATCAGTCTATAGTCTTGACTATAGATCTGTTTATAGTCTTGACTATAGATCTGTTTATAGTCTTGACTATAGATCAGTCTATAGTCTTGACTATAGTCTTGAATATAGATCAGTCTATAGTCTTGACTATAGATCAGTCTATAGTCTTGACTATAGATCAGTCTATAGCCTTGACTATAGATCAGTCTATAGTCTTGACTATAGATCAGTCTATAGTCCTGACTATAGATCAGTCTATAATCTTGACTACAGATCAGTCTATAGACTGTACTATAGATCAGTCTATAGTCTTGACTATAGATCAGTCTATAGTCCTGACTATAGATCAGTCTATAATCTTGACTACAGATCAGTCTATAGACTGTACTATAGATCAGTCTATAGTTTGACTATAGATCAATCTATAGTCTTGACTATAGATCAGTCTTTAGACTTGACTATAGATCAGTCTATAGTCTTGACTATAGATCAGTCTATAGTCTTGACTATAGATCAGTCTATAGTGTGAACTATAGATCAGTCTATAGTCTTGACTATAGATCGGTCTATAGTCTTTATTATAGATTAGTCTATAGTCTTGACTATAGATCAGTCTACAGTCTTGACTATAGGTCAGTCTAAAGTCTTGATTATAGATCAGTCTATAATCTGGACTATAGGTCAATCTATAGTCTTGACTATGGATCGGTCTATAGTTTTGACTGTAGATCAGTCTATAGTCTGCACTATAGATCAGTCTATAGTCTGGACTATAGATCAGTCTACAGTTTTGACTATAGATCAATCTATAGTCTTGACTATAGATCAGTCTATAGTCTGGACTATAGATCAGTCTACAGTTTTGACTATAGATCAATCTATAGTCTTGACTATAGATCAATCTATAGTCTTGACTATAGATCAATCTATAGTCTTGACTATAGATCAGTTTATAGTCTTGACTATAGATCAGTCTATAGTTCATTCTATAGTCTTGTTTTTTTGTTTAGTCTGTTGTAGATCTATCAATAGATCAGTCTATAGTCTGTAGACCAGTCTCAAGTATGGACTGCTATCAGTACACTACTATATATCTTTCTTTTTGTTTACTTTACGTTGGTGGACTCTCAAAGTGTTTGTTTAGTTTTTTAATGTAAAAATATTGTTTTGTGGTTAAAATAGTAAAAATATGCTGTGATACATACATATGTAAGCATTTAAAAAACTATAGTTTAAAAAATAGTTTTGGCAAACGTTTGCTTCCGTTTATCCTCGCAGCAGGTTTTAGGAAGGAAATATTTGTATTTTGTCAGG